CTCACCTTCTTAAGAACTGTTGGTTTAAATGTGAAAACATGAATAGAAGATGAGCTGGGCAGAAATGATGCTTTTATTTCAGTTTTCAGAAGCACGGTATCGTGAGTAGAGGACCGGCCTGAACACGAAGGAACTTTTCATACAACGCCCACCAGTGTTTGTGGACTCCCTCAGACGCTACAGCACAGTGAGTCTTGATTGTTATACCCTATGTCTACCCCTTGGTGCTTGGGGAAGACTTACCACTACTTAAAAAAAAAGCCACCAGTTATTAATTACCTACGGTATACCAAGCATGGCTTTTACATTCTCCATCTCATGAAATCCTCACAACCACCACGAGATGGATACACTGAGCCTCAGAGAGGGGAAGCCTCACCTCACCCCTAAACACCAGGCTTTCCGTTAAGGACAGGGGCCAGCCGATGCTCCGTAAGGTGAACGCCTGCGATAGACTCGGCTGCTGCCCTTGTCTGAACTCCACAGCGTGGCCCTGGCCGCTTCCTGGTTGCAACCGCAGCCTGGTGACAGTGATGGTCAACTCATCACTCACCACAAGTCCCTTACACACTTCCTCATGGGGCAGGATGGAGGGCCACGCCTGCCCTTTCAGGGAGCAGAGAGCATGTTCACAACCACAAGGGAAGCAATACACAGGCGTATCCGGAGGCTCCTTTGCAAAGGCTCCCGTCATTCTTTTCCAGTGGGGGAAGGCATCGATCGAGGTCTGATCGAGGTCCCCAGGGCTCCACGTCTGGGGAAGGACAGCCACACAGGACAGAAGCACCAGGGACTAGCAGGTACAGGAGTGAGAACACAACCACCTCTGCCAACGTCCTCACTGCACCTCTGGGCATAAGTGCTTTGTGTCTGTGTGCCCCACACTTTGTCTTCCCAGACCGTATAGAATATGAGTCTCCATCAGAGGGACGTGGCCAAAGGCCAGTCTAGCCAGCATCCTGGCTTAGCCATTCCCTGCGAGAAGAGAACTAATATCTGACCCTGCAGAGGCGCCCAGGGACTACAGGGTGAAGGAACAAGTAAATGAAAGGAAGCAGCCCAGTCGTCCTCGGAGTTGCCCTATTGCAATATTGGAACTACCCCTTCACCATCACCAAGAGCTCTTTGATAACACGTTGTAGAGATTAAACCTGAGAAGTGTGGCAAGTCATTAATGAAAGGGGCCATTATACATGGAAGCAACTTAGGTCCAAATAACTCACAGCCAAAGATTAGACCCAGGTGTACTGACTCTCTGCCCAGCATTCTTTCCTACGCTCATGATCTAATTCCCCTCTTGAACCTCTTCATACTTTTACCCTATGTAACCTTTCAGGCAAATAAGTTCCAGATGTTTATTACCACAATCATGTTCCCTTGCTCTTCTTTATTTATAAATCATACTCATGTGACTTTATACGCAGGGAGAGAACACTGGACTAGGAGTCAAGTGGCCACGCTGAGGTCTCTACTCGCTGAGTGAATTTGGCACAAGTCGGTTTCTCCATTTGCAGAACGAGGGCATTAGACTCCAGGATTTATTATTCATAATTGCAATGACATTTATTCTCGATCCTCCTGTGCTACCTCTACCACCAGCCTGCCAACCAGGCAAAGGCAATAAGGAACGGTGGAGGAAAGTTACTTCCCCAAAGACGACCCCGCTGGCAAGGAGCAGAACCAAAGCCCCAGGCAAAATCCCTGACGTTGGACCAGAGATTGAGAAACAGGCTCAGTGCAAGCATCAATCAGCATGATTTCCTGTTTGATGCTGAGAAGGAGCACATGGGTTTCCACTGCAAACTCGCATCTCTTGCATAAATTTACTGATTAATCTCCGATGAGTCACCTCTGTGCTTCTGTCACTGGTGAGAGAAGGGGGCTGATTACAACTCAAGGACTCTTCAGCTCTACCATCCCATCATCCTAAAACTTCCACTTTTCAGGGCCAGGGTCTTAAGAGAGTAAATTGCAAATTCAAATGCTTCTTCCTCTCATGGAAAGACAAAGAGCGAAACATTTTAAGGACACCACAAACTCCTAATCACGTGAATAATGGCAGACATCCCTTCATTTAATCTCTCTATGAAGAAGAAACACCCATTCTACAGGTGGAAATACTGAGGGTCTGGGAGATGGTGATTTATCGGAAGGATGTGATGCTAGTAAGTGACAGAGTCAAAAGTCAATAAAGCCCAAGTATTCTGACTCTCAAGTTCAAAGACCCACAGCAGACTCTGCTGAGATAATTTTATTATTTCTACATTTCCAGTATAGAGTAGCAACTGCAAATTTTTAAGGAGAGGGCCAGGCTGAAGCCATTTAGCAGACACATGACTCCAGGACCACATGGCTTCTGGGCCAGCCCTGACAGATTTCGGAGTTAATGAGCAACAAATTATGTATTTTCTCGATCCTCTTGTACAGAAGGGCTGGGGAGTCGACAACACAGCCATAAATCATCCTTATGAACCAGCCGGACTTGGCTTCTTGTAATCCTAACCCTTTAAAAAGGCCATTTAATGAAATTCAGGCTGTGAAAGGCGGCCGGAATGCCTCACCTCTATAGAAGAGGCGAAGGCTTAAATTGTTCTCCGACACGTTACACACCTAACTCTGGAGTCTCAGATTTACGGCTTTCGGACTTTATTCATTACTCACAATGTTTTTATTCCTGGGTAATAAAATAAGCTCTTCCCTCCCCCTCCCCCTCCCTAGGCTCTGGCCCCACCCCCCAGACTCGGGGCCCTCGGGCCCTCGTTTCTGCCTCAGTCAGCAAGGTTCTGATATGTAAATTTCACTGCTGAGAAAAATGCCTTCCATGCTGATCCCCTTCTGAACCAGCAAGCAATAGATTCTGGGGTGATGGCAAACTGCCAGGCAAGCAGAGGAGAATTCTCCCCTACCTGCCTTTTAAAGCACTTGGCACAGAATCTGGAAACTAATAAAATGGGAAAGTATTGCAATTAAGCTACAAGGGGACAGAAGGGGATCAGTCCCTGCTTGGAATGGCTGCGGTGTGAAGGAAGCTTGTCTCCAAGTGCAAAACAGTCCCTCTTCTTTCTTTCGGGTGACATATTTACATAAATATTAAACTGTTTCAGAGAGAAGAGATGAAGAAAATTGAGGATGGATTTGGGGAAGAAACAGAGCAGCGGGGGGTGAAAGAATCACTAACTACAGAGCCAGAAATCTGAGGTTCGCCTCTGTCCACTGCCCCAGGCAAGCGGCTCCACCTTTCCCGGCTTAGATGTCCTCACCTATAAAATAAGATTAATAATGTCCACGTACCAGGACTGCCAGGGAATCCAACAAGGTGATATGCCAAATGCCTGTGCCCATCATGAGAGCCCTCCAAAGGTTGAGTTCTTTTCTCTTTCCATCAGAGAAGGGAAAAACCAAAGACAAACCCCCAAACTAACACATCCTTTGCAGAGAGTAGCTCTTCCACAATGCTTCCAAGAGCTCCTGAAAAGAAAGTGTTCCACATGGAAGACTCTGGAAAGTGCCCCCCTCCCAGCTAGAGCCAGAAAATGCTCTAGCATTGGATGGATGGTTGATGTTGGCTTTTTTTTTTTTTTTGCAGTTTTTGGCCCGGGCTAGTTTGAACCTGCCACCTCCAGCATATGGGGC